AAAAAACTTGCGTGGACCTAGTCCACATTAATATGCGGTTTATACTATACGCATATAACTGACGTTATATTAAACATAACGACCCTTATGTTGAAAATAGTGACCCTAATTTTAACATAGTGGCCTTCATTATTCATATTAACCAGTATATAAAAAATTTCATTAAAAAACCCCCTCTTATAGCATTTATAATACATTAATACCACAATGACTTTTATTTAACATAATAACCTGTATTAAAATATAGTGATCTTTTTTTATTAATAAAATAATCATAGTGTTTCTAATGTTAGTGGTCCAAAAAAAGTTAGTGTGAACCAAATTTATTTAAGAATTTGTATGAATTTTGTATGCGTAAGATATAGATACCAAATCAAGCTAATTATTTCCTAACATTTAAAATATTTTCCTTCTCCGCATTTTTTCCGGTAATTGGCCTAAAGTTAGCAATACACACAACAATATTATATAGTTAATTGATCTTATACAATTTTTTCCCTCTAAAAATATTGCAGTTTGTATATATTAGAATAGAGATAATTGATCTTGTATAATATTATTGCCAAAAAATATAACTATTATTGATCTTATATGATACAATTGTTGTCTAAAAAGTTTAACTTGTATATATATGTACATAATAGTTCATTATTATTCTTAAAATAAAAAAATTAACATATCAAATAACATTGTCAAAATTAAATATCATACACGTCAAAGTTATTATAACAAGAATATAATTTTGATAATAGAATATTTATATAATAGAATAATTATTATTGAATTTGATCTTATATAATATTTTTGCCAACTTAAAAGATAATATAATATAAACTTGTATACTTCATGTCCAACTTCGGTAGTTATGAAAAGATATATGACAACCTAGCTATTTATTTCCTAACATATATAAAATATTTTCTATAAATAAAATTCGTATATCACAATTTTTATTTTTTTTTGAAAGATAATTTTTTTTGTTAGTGGCTTGGTATAATAATATGCATAAATAAAAATATAAAGATAAAACTTTTATGGAAAATTAGTATCGTGAATAGTTATGCACGGTAATACAAGTTTATACGGCTTCTTAATATATGACACGATTTGACTTTTATTATAACTTTGACCATATAATTTTTGACATCATACATTGTATATATATTTTATATTGTATTATATTTTGTTACAATGTAATTAAGAGAGTATAAAATATATCCCCGGAATTCAACCATCAACTTAACTTTTTAACTGAGTTGGTCCTCTAATTATTTAATATATTAACGAATCAATATAATACTCCCTCCGTGTTTTTTTAAAGCTACACTTACCTTAATTTAGCCGATTTTTTTTAAAGCTACACTTCATCTTTTAGAGTATCAATTATATATGTAATGAATGAAAAAAGAAGTTAGAAAAAAGTTTATGTAGAAAAAAGTAATTGGACATGTCTAGCAAAATTCATGTGTTTTAAAAATGAAACCAATTTTGGTAGAAATTTATTATCAAATGCTACAATACTTAAATTTTTTAAGGCAAAAAAGTGGTGCTACAAAATCAGTTAAGTACCCTAAAATATAGCATTAAGATTAATAAAAACTTAATAATTAATTATATGGTCTCCATTATATACGAAGTATAAGGTTTCCATTAAATGGATTACTTTTATTTACATCAGGGTAGCTTTTTTTTTCTTGTGGGTGACATAAGTACCTGATTTAAATTTTGTGACCATATTATGGGAATACGGGATAGCGAGAGAGTTTTATTATGTTGATTAAACCTAAAGTACACATTATAAAAATGTAAAGGCCATAAACCTTTTTATATCTCCAAATTTAATTTTTTTTTATTCAACATTGAATTAAAATTATGATGTGCAATACCATGATAAAATGGATACACATACATTACTGTGAATGAATAATCAAATAATGTAAAAACTATAACTATTATGCATTAAGATAATTTTAGTTTTGATTTTGTGAGATTTAATATTTGAACTTTTAAAACCGCGCAATTGCACGGGTACTATACTAGTTATACACTAAAAAAGAATTATAGTATCCTTATAAACTACTCCGTACTTATTAATGCTTATTTTTGTAACAAAATTACTTAATGAAAATTATATACATATAAAATATTTCATTTGAGGAACAGATATAATTGCCATAGTCAAAGGTGAATATTAATAAATGCTATAAATATAAATACTTATTCATGAAGGATTGACAAACCAAAAAATAAATAAATAAATAAATAAAAAAAGAAGAAGATGAAGTGGAGGGAAAATTTTCAAGCAGTGGATGACATGTGTTATCACTGGTTTCGCTTTTAGTATTAAGTTATTGATTATTGATGTTGGCCAATTTAAAAAATAATATTGAATTTGAAATAAATTTGATAAATTTAAATCTTAAATTATAGGAAACAATATTATAGTTGAAACAATTACAAAAGGAACTATATGAAATAATTAGATTCTATTGATATACATAATAAAATCTTTCCCATAATAGCTAAAATGAAGAAAAAGAAAAAAAAAGGTTTTGGAGGGAAAATTTAGCACCAGAAATTAACACGTGTCATTCCAAATGTCTGTTTAATATTATTTTATTTTATTGATTGATTGCCCATGGCTCGATACATGAACAAGCCGAATAAATAGCCCTATATTCTAAGTAGCTAAATCTATACTTCTATATATACAATACGTTTTTTGTGCGACAGGACACATTGTGTGGTCGCTTGTAAACAACAGAATAACCCCTATAACACTGACAGAGTAACCCCTATTATACTAGCTGATAGAATAACCCCTTATTATACGTATTGCATAACCCAATAATAAAGTATCCCCTACAACATTACTCATAGAATAACCTATTTGTTAGGGAATGTGTTTATCGGGCCACAAAAATTGCAACGAAAATGGACAAATTAACACTTCGAGGCGTGAACAAATTAAAATCACTTTCCCAAATTAATATTTCGACCCTGATATACACTTTGGGTTTCACGAAATTACTAGGAGATACAACGAAAACAATCACAACAATGTGTAGTATGTTTGTGATTTAATGTAATCAAAACTTTGATAATTTATGATGATGAAAATTGGGTGCAAAAGGTTTCAAGAGAATGAACGAAGTAAATACTGATTTCTTGAAGTTATTCACCATATGTTCCAAGAACATATTTATAACAAAGCCAAATCAACCAACAACCATGAAGAATAACCGTTCAAAACATCTCAGACCCAGCCCGTGCCAGCCCGCCTGACCGAGCGGATCTGATGACGAATCATGGCACCTCTCGCACCCGGTCGGGCGGCGGTGGCCTTGTCGAGCGGTGAAGCCCAATTTTCCAGAAACTAGTCTTGCGCCTTGTAGGGCGAAGATACCTAGATTCGGGCAGCGAAACTTCGCAATTTATTCCTCGTTCTCGCGCCCGGCGGTAGGGCGGAGGCTGCCTAGCCGGGTGGTAGTACAGTGACCGAGATTCACCCTCGGGCCCGGTCGACGAGCGCAGCCTAGACCGGGCGCTGGAGTGCCTTCTATGCCTCCTCTAAACCGAGTTTGCTTCTAATCTTTGCTTAATAAATTCACAACACCGTAACCTAAGTAAATCTATTAAACAACATGAATTATTTCTACAATTCTCTAAATTATTCAACACTATTATATTATGGAGTACTAAGTAACCCATATAACCATAACAGAGTAACCTTTACAACACTAATCGAATGAGCTATATTTAATCGTCATTCGTCAGTCATGACTCATGACTCTCATGAGCAAGTGGGGCGCGCGAGTTGTACAAGCACCTGCCTTGGCCGCCCCACAAATTTTGGCTCTCAACTTCACAAACCCCGTACCAAACTCTATGGGATACTACCATACTAGCATCTTTGACCTTAAATCAATCCCAAATCTTCTACAAATCCACAATCCCATTGAAAATGGATCACATTGACAATGGTAAAATAATTATTTAAATTGAAAATAAAAATATATAAGTTAAAATTTAAGAGCTCAGTTTCTATATACGTGAAACACTTGTCTCGATCTTTAAAAGCTTGTAATACTTTTTTATTTTTCGTGGGATCACTATTTCGGTAACATATTATTGATGTGTGAAGTTTTTTTGTCATAAATTCTTAAACTAGTACAATTATCATTTTAAGAGGCCAGGTACACATTGTACATTTTTACAACATTTTTAATCATCACGGTTTATTAGAGATATCAAGAGAATATCTCTTCATAACAATATTTTTATAATTTCCTATAGGATATTATGTTATGTGAACATATTTGATATTATATTTTGTAATCACTTTATTATCTTATTTGATTCTTATGAATCATTTAGATTTTTTTTTTAAAAGAATGAATCATAGAGATTGTATTAGGATTATTCATTCTTTTGTACGTAACAATATAAATAGTTGTATCATTTATTAATATAATTAAGCTTTTTCTTATACTCTCTGAGGTTTCTCTTATACTCTATCTTAGTCTACCTCAAAATCACATATTGTATATTATAACTTTTTTGAAGTAATCGCGCACTAGATATAGTAACAAATAAGGAGTAGATATATGCTAATTAATTAAGACATTTTTATAATGCATTTAGGCTATGACACACAAACACACATTAGTATGAATTTAAATAATACTGTAATGCATATAGACCATGACACACAAACACACAATCATATGCACATGATCCTTCTATCCCCCATAATTAGATAATAATGTTCTCCCTGTTTTGGGAAACCACAACATCACATTATATGAGTTATTATGATCACCTCTCTATTCTAATCAACTTTGACGCATTAATTAATGCATTACCACACTCATTTGCTGTAGATTCCATCCCTTGGAAAACAGCTAATTAATTCATTTTTTTTTACTTAATTACTTCTTCTAATTAAAAAATAAAAAATAAAAATCTGATCTACACTATAAATACTTATTTTCCTTCATTATTTATAAACCCTTTTCCAAGATTTGAAGAAAACTAATTGTTCTAGGAAACACATACGTGGGCACTAGACATATCATGTAACTTACAAATACTGCAAAAGATAATATTATTTCAAGCAACTAACTTTCAAATTTCAGCATTATTATTTCATATTTCATTGCCCAAGAGATTATAACATATCATCAAAACTTGAGTCAATGGTTCCGGATGATTTGGGCAGTGGCAGCAGCCGGAGGAGCTGGCCGGGGCCGGCTGCACCAAGCTTTCGGGATGTTCTAACAGCTGCTCCTGGTGATGTTTTCAGTAGCCGGAGATGGGAGGAAGAGCAGGAGGAGGAGGAGGAGCTGAGATGGGCCGCCATCGAAAGGTTGCCTACCTTTGAAAGGTTAAGGAAAGGGGTGCTAAGAAGAGTGCTTGAAGATGGTAAAATGGTGAGGAATGAGATTGATCTTCATAATATGGGAAGGCAAGATAGAAAGGTGTTAGTTGATACTATTCTCAAAGTTGTTGATGATGATAATGAGAAGTTTCTTAGAAGACTCAGGGACAGGATGGATAAGTAAGTTTATGTGTAATCTTTGTTTGGTTTTTTATAGGGGTGATTTTCCAAATTTTCATCATTTAAGTCATGTTATGTGCAATTGATTTTCATTAAATTGAGAAGGTATTAATCAAATTTATAATACTCCATAGCTAATAAGTATTGATTTTTACAAATTAAAACTAATTTTTGTTAACTTTAACTAAATTTGATAATTTACTAGTATACAGTAAAACTAATTGTTATGATTAAAACTGATGCATTTTGAAATTGTGTTTATAAATTGAAGAAAGTATGATCTTAGTAGTTATTTCGACTACTAACACTATTTTAATTGATGAAAAACGTTAATTGTAAACACTTGTATTTGAGAGAGTTTAATGGAAGTTAGATACATAAAGTAAAGTAAGAGAGATAAAAGTAAAAAAAAGTGAACGAGTCTAAATGAGTCTAAGAAAGACTATGTGAAAGTTGTAATAAGTGTTTGGTGTATGGGTTAAATACTTAGATGTAGATATGTGCTAAAAATAAATTTACCAGTAGTAATAGTGAATTAGTGAGTAAATCAAATAACACGAGAGAACCCCAGTTCCTCATCACCTCATAATGGCATTTTGAAAATAATGTGATGTTTTTCACTAGTGGGGACCGCCTGTGTGTCATGAGTGGAACTCTGTGATCTTGACACATATTACATGAGGAACAAAACTTGTTCCTCACAATGAGGAACAGGGAATTACCCAAATACCACACGTCAAAATAAAAATAAATGGTGGATGTTAGGGATTAGGAAAAAAAACAAAAACAAAAAGAGTCTAAAACTTACATTTTCATATCATCAACCAATCCTTATTTTTTTTGAATTATTTAATAATGAATCTATTTATTTATTTGTTAAGTTATTTAATTTATATAATTACACGGGCTATATATGTTCGATTATTGTCCTTTCTTAGCTTTACTTTGTTGTATTTAGGCGTAAGTTCGTCTTATTAGCTAGACTAAAGCTAATCTATGGTATGATATGGTAATTAGTCGACCATACAATCTAATGAACTGAATTTTGACTCATTGATCACAATTAGGGTATATACTCTATCTGTCAATTAACTGGGATCTGATTCTGATTAATTAAATTAATTTATTGGTAAATAATTATAGAGTGGGACTTGAGATACCAAAGATTGAAGTGAGATACGAGCATCTTTTCGTGGAAGGGAATGTGCATGTGGGCAGTAGAGCTTTGCCAACTTTGCTTAATTCTACAATGAACTCTATGGAGGTATTTCTTATCCCCTACCTAATCTATATACAGTATCTTTTTTATGTACTTTATGTCTTTATAGTATTACAATTTATATTAGTAATGAACTAATGCAATGTGTTGTCTCCTACGTACTGTAAATTAAGTCACCAAATAATAAAAAATAAATGATGTGATATTGTAAGGTAAATGTGTGGCCACACTAGTTTATAATAATAGTAACCTAATAATATTATGTTATTTTCTCTTAACCTTACAAAAATAATATTTGGAAAAAAAAATTCAGTTTTGTAAAATAATTTTTAATTAGTAAAAATAAGTATAATTTCAATTCAGCAAAAATAAAGTAAAGAAAACATGGCATTAATAACCTCATTTTGTTCATAAGAGTACAAAGTAATGCCATTTGTTCACATGGGTAACTTGAATTTTTCTTTAGTCTTATTAGAAAACTCCATCTGTTTATAAGAGTAACCCTATTTTCCCATCACAACAATCCCTTATTCGTTAAGATTATCCCATCGTAATACTCATTACTTAATTAATTGTTTAAATGTGAAGCATGTGAAGTGGCCACACAATCAACTAATACACAATGTGACTGAACACATAAAAATTTGTGATATAAATTATTATTCATCATATATTTCAATAACTTTTAACAATGTAACTTATCTATATTTATTTTACTTCCTCTTGAAGTATGTAATTTTTTTCTTTGTTAAAATAAGATCAAACTAGTCTAAAAGTTATAACGATTTGAATAGAACCACTTTTGTTGTTAGGTTGTGTTCAGTAAAAGTAAATGTCAAGCAATAAATTTCACTAACTTAAAAAAGTCTATTAACTATAACTTAAACAAAACATTGTTGACGTCATCACTGTCCACATGTCACTCACATAATAAATTTTTACATTTCATTCCCAACTATGAAATATAAATATCAGAAACTTCTAGATTACAACAAAAACCTATCAATTTATTTTTAAAAAATGAAACAATTGTAAATAGCACACTAATAAATGGACTCTACATTGAAATATGTATTAGGCGACGCGACGTTGACTAGGTGTTATATCATAATTTTTGATGAAAATCTAGAACTATAAAATAACAAATATTTTTGTACAACATGCATAATTCTTATTTATATTTATCCATTTTTATAAAAAAGTAAAAATTATAAAAATAGGTTTTATATAAATCATGGATAGCAGGAATTCTACCCTATTGTTATAATAAAACAAAATACTCCTTCAGAACTCCGTTCAAAAAGGAAAAAAAAAAAACTCCTTTAGAACTTAGGAGGTTGAAGTCATTATTTTGTGTTTATGTTCAAAGTTTTAAACCCAAAAATAAACCGGAGTATAATCTGCTGTGTAACCGGGGAAATCGTTGAAATGAGGTAAGAAATGCTTTGCGCTTACGATTGAAATTAGCTTTGATTATGGCAGGCAATTCTAGGAATGGTGGGATTATCCCCATCAAAGAAGAGAACCCTCAAGGTCCTTCAAAATGTCACTGGGATTGTCAAACCCTCCAGGTACCAATTTTCATACCCAATTGCAAAAAAATTCAGCTTTTGCTGAATTTGTTCATTTTCTATAAAATAATGTTAATGGGTGTTTGAAAAAGATGCATGCATTTAAAAGTATAGAGTTTCTTCATGTTTGTGCTTTCAGTAAATCAAATTGTGTATTCTTATTATCTTTTAATCATGCTCTTCAACATTTATTGTGTTGTGATGGAAATCAGAAGCATGTATAAATGATAATCACTAATCAACATGAGAATCGAATTATATATGTACTTGCACACCTTGGGGTGCTATAGTAAATGCAATCCTTACTAGACTTCCAAAATTCACTGTTGTTTGTTGTTTGAATGAGTGTGGGTGGAATGATATATGGATTAGTTGTTGCACGGGTCGTATCGATAGAAGGGAGGGAAGCAAAAAATTAAATTTAGGGAAAGAGATGAAGTATGACTGCAAGAGAGGGGATAAATTGAATATTGAATGTGTTTGTGTTTTTATGTTGTATATTCTAGGTAGACAGGTAGTAATTATATATTCTATATAAACGAAATTGAACCTTAGGGAGTGGGAATAGATGCTTCCATTCTCATATGTTGCTCACTTGTTCATGTTTTATAAGGTATGTAATTATAGCCCTAATAATAGATTTTGGGTTGTAGTAATGCAAGACATTACCTGGAGTTTTCCGGCCAGTAAAAAATAAAATGAAGTTGCATTATGTGTTCTTCCTTCTATGTGTAATGTATTGGTGCTGAAGATTGTCTCTCAATTGTGCAATGGTATGTTAATTGTCAGGATGACATTACTTTTGGGGCCTCCAGGTGCAGGGAAAACAACTTTTTTATTGGCACTTGCAGGAAAGCTGGATAAAAACCTCAAGGTGATCTTTTTTCACACTTTATATATTATATCAGACATACATCAAGTCGTAAATGATTCGATACAAAATTAAAGAATTGGCGAACTTGCTCATTAATCAATGGATTTGGTTAAATTATGATTAATGTTATTGTATCCTTGTTGACTATAAACAGGTAACCGGGAAGGTAACATATTGTGGCCATGAGTTAACGGAATTTGTTCCCCAGAGGACCTGTGCTTATATTAGTCAAGATGACCTTCATAATGGAGAGTTGACTGTTAGAGAGACGTTAGATTTTTCAGGGCGATGCTTAGGGGTTGGGACTAGGTATGAGGTGTTGGCAGAACTCTCTAGAAGAGAGAAGCAAGCAGGAATCAAGCCAGACCCTGAAATTGATGCCTTCATGAAGGCCATAGCAATGTCAGGCCAACAAACTAGTCTTGTTACTGATTATGTTCTTAAGGTTTGTGATACACAAATGGGTTATATCATGATTACTTAACAGAGATAGGAAGCACTTATACTGCAGTTTCTTAACTTTTGATAGATACTTGGATTGGATATATGCGCTGATATCATAGTTGGGAATGAAATGTCAAGGGGCATCTCTGGTGGGCAAAAGAAGCGTGTAACAACTGGTATTTATCTCGGATGAATCTGCTATTGCTTATATAACATGGAATTTCATGGTTTGTATAAATGATTTAAGTTTTTATTCAATTTCATAATTCATTGTTCATTTTAACATAATGCAGGTGAAATGTTGGTTGGTCCAGCAAAAGTTCTACTGATGGACGAAATATCAACAGGATTGGATAGTTCCACCACTTTTCAAATATGCAAGTATATGAGGCAAATGGTTCATATAATGGATGTTACAATGGTCATCTCTCTCCTACAACCAGCTCCGGAAACTTGTGAACTCTTTGATGATGTTATCCTTCTTTCTGAAGCTCAGGTTGTTTATCAAGGTCCTCGTGAAGAAATTGTCGAGTTTTTTGAATATATGGGCTTCAAATGCCCAGAGAGGAAAGGAATAGCTGATTTTCTCCAAGAAGTGACTTCCAAGAAAGATCAAGAACAGTATTGGTCTAGGAAGGACCAACCTTATAGTTACATTTCAGTTTCTGAATTCACTCAGGGATTCCAATCTTTCCGAACTGGGCAAAAGCTAGCATCCGATCTTGTAGTTCCTTTTGATAAATCCAAAGCTCACCCAGCTGCTTTGGTCAAAGAAAAATATGGTATCTCTAATTGGGAGCTTTTTAAGGCTTGTTTCTGGAGGGAGTGGTTGCTAATGAAACGAAACTCTTTTATATACATCTTCAAGACTACACAAATAACAATCATGTCATTAATTACAATGACTGTTTTCCTTAGGACGACAATGGATCATAAAACAATCAATGATGGCAACAAATACCTCGGGGCCCTATTTTTCAGTCTCATTAATATTATGTTTAATGGTTTTGCTGAACTGTCCTTGACAGTTCTTCGCCTACCAATCTTCTATAAGCAGAGGGACTTCATGTTCTACCCTGCATGGGCTTATGCATTACCAGGTTGGGTCCTTAGAATCCCATTATCATTCATGGAATCAGCAATATGGACCATTCTCACCTATTACACAATTGGTTTTGCTCCATCTGCTAGTAGGTGAGACTGACAAAAAATATTATAAGTGTAATCATATGCATTCCTTAAAATAAGATCACTTTGTTTATACTATTGTGCTTTTGTTTTCTCCTCTTATGAATCTGTCTTATTCAATTAGGTTTTTCTGCCAGTTGCTGGCATACTTCTGTATTCATCAGATGGCTTTGTCCCTCTTTCGGTTCATTGGAGCTGCAGGGAGAATCATGGTGGTCGCTAACAATGTTGCTATATTCGGATTGCTGTTAATTTTTGTCCTTGGAGGTTTTATAATTGCAAAAGGTATGCCTTATACCTCTAGCTGTTGACTAGTACCAAAATTTGATAATCTGTACATCTGGCATCATCTGATATTATTGTGTTTTCTGATTGCCTCGTTATTTGTGGGTTATGTAGGTGATATTGGTCCGTGGATGATATGGGGCTACTACATTTCACCTATGATGTATGGACAGAATGCTTTAGTTATTAATGAGTTTCTTGATGAGCGATGGAACACTGTAATTTCTTTCCTTTTCCAATCTCTTATTTTTTCTTCCTTTCACATTCGTTTGAATTTAAATGTTTGTGTTTATTAATCCATATACTAATGCAGCCTAATACAGACCCCGGAATTCCTGAGCCTACCATTGGTAAAGTCCTCCTTGCATCTAGAGGCTTCTTTAAAGAGCAATATTGGTTTTGGATCAGTATTGTTGCTCTTTTGGGGTTTTCTCTCCTGTTCAACCTGTTATATATTCTATCATTGACGTTCTTAAGTCGTAAGTCATCCACTTCTATTTTCATTTTGGCTACAGGAAGACTAAATCTTTAAGGAAGCTAATGACAATCTCTCTCTCTCTCTCTCTCTCTCTCTCTCTCTCTCTCTCTCTCTCTCTCTGTTTGTTTGTTTCTTTTTTTAACAGCTTTTAGCGATTCAAAAACCGTATTATTGAATGATGATGATGATGATAACAAAATGAATAAGAAGCCATCCAAGGAAAGACTTAATAATCTGGATGCAGCTATGAATTTGCATTCAGGGAGTATTAATTCACATGTTGAAGCCCCCAGAAGGGGTATGGTTATGCCTTTCCAACCTCTTTCACTTGCATTCAACCATGTCAGTTACTATGTGGATATGCCTGCTGTAAGTTTTCTATCTTATCTTTATAGAGATATCATATAACATTGCAATAGCAGTAGGCATTAAGCAACATACCAATTTTTGTGTGATCATTGTCAATTGGTACTGTATATGGCTAAGACTGAGGTAGAAACTTTGGTTTTTCTATATCAGGAAATGAAAAACCGAGGTTATGAAGAAGATCGCCTTCAACTACTACAAGGTGTCAGTGGTGCTTTTAGGCCTGGTATATTGACAGCACTAGTGGGTGTGAGTGGTGCTGGAAAGACCACACTAATGGATGTGCTGGCTGGAAGGAAGACTGGTGGTTATATTGAAGGCAGCATTAGCATATCTGGTTACCCAAAGAACCAATCAACCTTTGCTCGGATATGTGGCTACTGTGAACAGACTGACATTCATTCACCACATGTCACTGTCTTTGAATCTCTTATGTACTCAGCCTGGCTTCGTCTTTCTTCTGATGTGGATACAAATACACGTCAGGTTTATTACATCCTTCGATAGGCAGTTACATGCTATGTTGTTCAGCCATCTTTTACAGACAAATATTATTGTTACAGGCGACTGATTTTTTTTCCCCATTTGCATCGTAGATGTTTATTGAGGAAGTAATGGATTTGATTGAGCTTAAACCATTAAGAGATTCTCTGGTTGGCCTTCCTGGTGTTAATGGACTGTCAACAGAGCAAAGGAAGAGATTGACAATCGCAGTAGAGTTAGTTGCTAATCCTTCCATTATCTTTATGGATGAGCCAACATCTGGGCTTGATGCCAGAGCTGCTGCCATTGTAATGCGCACAGTGAGAAATACAGTGGACACTGGTAGAACTGTTGTCTGCACCATTCATCAGCCAAGCATAGATATATTTGAGGCTTTTGATGAGGTACACCACAAAGATATGATATTTATTTGCCACTGCCTTGTTATATATTATCTTTTCTCTTCATTTAACATTCGTTTCATAATATGTTATCACAGCTCTTATTGATGAAGCGGGGAGGACAAGTTATTTATGCAGGCCCCCTTGGACGTCATTCCCATGAGCTGATTGAATACTTTGAAGTGAGTTATGATTATGATCTAATTGTCTTATATGTTTTCATGTAATTTAAAAACTATGTAGTTGCATATACAAGTAAAAAGACCTCTAGACAACTGAAACAAAAGGAAGTCATTGTACTTGGTTAGAGAGAAAGAGAAACAGACAAATAAGAGAAGTAATTGCTCTTGAATAATTCAAGAAAGCATTTTATTAACTAGGCATTGTATACGGCATTTCCTTTTTAGGATGTGATACATTACATGACTACAAGTTGGATCAAACAATTCATGCTCAGAGTGTCCTTCCTTGCAACGTATAATGTTTGCATGTATAATAATTTTGAAAAAGAACAAGAAAGACCATATTCTATGATGGCATGATAAACAAAATTCTAAGAAGGGTGAGCCTTTTGAAGAATCCGAGTGAGAAAGAGAGATTACATAGATTCTCAAGAAACTTCCTCCGTTGCATATTATGTGTGCAACTTTTGGGTATTATATGTAAAATATAAAAAACTCAAAAGTTGCACATAATATGTGACGAAGGTAGTATTATTTTAGAGTAATTCCAGGTGTTTACTAAAGTTTGACGTCTCTACTTATGCTTTTAGTTTAGGAAAAGAATGGTATGCACTAAATATTCATTTTAGTTCTGTTTGCCGTAGAGTAGAAGTTTTATTTGGTGATTACTTAAAGTGATGATCTTTTGCAGGCTATTCCTGGAGTGCCTAAGATCAAGGCTGGCTATAATCCAGCCACATGGATGCTAGATATTAGTACTCCTCAAGTAGAGACTCAATTGGATATGGATTTTGCTATATATTATGCTACTTCCTCGCGTTATCAGTATGTGTCCCCCTTTTATTTTCATCACAAATTGATATGTTGCAATCACATATTCTGATATAAGGAGTACTTTTTTTTCCTTTAAAATTTTCTAAGAGATGAATATTATGACATATTTTCTAGGAAGAATCAAGATCTCGTTGAAGAGCTCAGCATTCCGTCACCAGGTTCCAGTGATCTCTACTTCCCAGCTAAGTACTCTCAGCCATCCTTCGTTCAATTTAAGGCTTGTTTCTGGAAGCAATATTGGTCATATTGGAGGAATCCACAGTACAACCTAGTTCGATTTGCTTTAACCATAGCTGTTGGTCTCATCTTTGGTGTAGTATTCTGGAACAAGGGACGTAAAATGTAAGATCTGATTGCATAGCTTATTTTAGGAATCACCTCTTGTTGTCTAACAAGATGTATCAATCAATCAATCAAACAAAGCCTTAATCCCATAAGTGGGGTTGGCTACATGAACTAACATGAGGAATTTCCAGGAGGTCACCCATTCTGGTTTTACTCTCAATCATTGTTGCTCATGTCATGTGATGTGACAAAGTTTACACTTGCTGTCACTGGCCTATCGTAACCCTCCTCCTTTATCCAGGCTTCACATTGAAATATTAGAGAGCCTGAATACCTTTATAGATCTTGAATTGATAATTTGAGTAGTTATACCTGCTTCAGCAAGTGATTAGAATCAGTTTGTTTATGCATCAATACTTACCCAGAAAAAATAAATAGAAATATGAATGTGTAACTAAAAATTTTTGTAAAAATATCGGGTATGTTTTGTACAATCTAGATCTACTAATATCAGGAGTTCCACTTTTATCATCAAAGAGAGCTGAGAGTCCATATATTGTTATGCAGAAATTGTTTAGGCACTAATTAATGACAGTAGTGATGTGACATAATAAACAACTATGAAAGATGTTAGTTGTTTATATGAATTTCCAAATTCCAATATTTAGGAAAGAATGCTCGCCTATGGTTAATGGTTTACAGTTATATGGTGAAATGAGAGTTGTGAACACTGCTATTTTATGTATATTTAATACTGAAAATAGAGGCTAGCTATAAATCTTTTATTAATTCAACTTCTCATGTAAACTGAGCTTGTTTAGCAAATGAAGTGAATGAGATAAGTCAGATAACATTGAATTAGTTTCAATGAGGATGTAGCTCCAATGCCTGACTTTATTTTCAATTCTTAATGTCTTTCTTATTCCATCATTGATTTAGTTTTTAGTGGTGGATTGTAAATGTAGTGGATGACCACACGGAATAATCAATTTTGGTTCATGTAGCCGACCCCGCTTATGGGATTAAGGCTTTGATTGATTGATTGATTGATTGTAAATGTAGGTTATGTCTTACCATATTCGTCAGTATCTTACTTCTGAATTTGCTAACAGATCCAAAGTACAAGACCTAATGAACTTTTTAGGAGCTATGTATTCCGCTTTACTTTTTCTTGGAGCCACTAATGCTTCAGCTGTGCAAGCTGTTGTTGCCATTGAGAGGACAGTATTCTATCGTGAAAAAGCAGCAGGGATGTATTCACCATTGCCCTATGCATTGGCTCAGGTAACCAAGTCAGGAAGTTGATCAAGGTTCTGAATGTTAATCTAAAAAGACTACTTTCTAATCTGTTTCCTTTCTTTTGCACTGCCCCCATCATGCCACAGGTGGCAATAGAAACAATCTACACTGTGATACAGACAGTTCTCTACACCCTTATCCTCTACTCGATGATTGGATTTGAGTGGAACTTCGGAAAATTTATTTATTTCTGCTACTTTATAACAACATGCTTCATCTACTTCGGAATGTATGGAATGATGCTTGTCTCTCTTACACCTGGTCCTCAAGTTGCAGGCATTGTGATGGGTTTCTTCCTCAGTCTCTGGAATCTATTTGCTGGTTTTCTGATACCCCGACCGGTATGATACCTACAGCTTATTTATATTCAAACTATGCCTAACTTGGGAATGCTTTGTTCATCACTTGTAGATTCTCATAATTTTGATCATACTTCAATATCATATGCTTCATACAAGTATATTTTATTAATTTTTAATGTCAGATGCAGGGTACATTTAAAAAATAATTTTTTATCTCAGACATAATTGTTCTAGTTTGTATTGCATAAACCTTGATAATCATAGTCCTATAACACTTAAACTATTGGAAAAGCTTTTGGAAAAAAAATGATGTATAAACTAATGTTAACATCACCATTATAACACAGTGACTTGCAGCGATAAGTTTCTAGCTTTTAGATTATTTGTATACTAAGATAAGCTGCTAGCCTGCTACACACTAGCAATAACAAACTGAATTTTTTTTCTTTATTTTTTTTTTTGGGTAAGAATAACAAACTGAATTAGTTGCTAGGACTGCTGGGTTTTAGAGATAGTTTGACCTGGAGGAGTGTTTAGAGAAGGGCACAACTGTGAGAGTTCTTAATCATGTTCATGTAGGAGATGTTGAAGTCGTATTGGGTATAGTCAGATCGTACAAAGCCATGTGGGTCATGGCACATGACCATAAACCCTTGTCAGAAGACTGAGAATTATGTGAAACTAATTGTGCTTTAATATAAGTAGTTATTAGCTTCGATTTGAGAACCCTAAGAGAGAATTTGACTTTAACCTTAGATTGAGAATTCTTGTGTTGAAGTGTAAACTTCCCAAACAACACATGTTAGTGTCCCACATTGTAGAAAGAAGAGAGAGTTAAACACTTTATAAGGCTAAAGGGCTACTCCTCTTATTGCCATATGGTTTTAGGATGGAACTTCTTTGGACTTATGAAGTAGACTTTGACAAACGCGCCCGTATTTAACATGGTATAGGACAGACCCACAATTTGGGACCTTTAATGGCTCGAGTGATGAGTATACTAACCAACTTGTCCATGAGAGGGGTAGTGAAAAAAATGCACTCAGGCCCCTTGAAACATCACATGTGATGGAATTAAAGGACCGACCGTACATAAGTGGCCCACATTGAGATAAAAAAAAAAAAAATAGAGTTAAACACTTTATAAGGTTAAGAGGTTACTCCTCCCATTGCCGTATGATTTTAGGATGGAACTTCCTTACACTTATGAAGTAGACCCTCTCTCCTGGTGACGTGCGCGGCCCATATATTACATCTCGAGTTATCATTTTTACATTTTCGTATTATCATAATATTGATTGCATGATTTGTGTTCCCCTCATCCTAGCAAGGAAAGCATGTTGGTTTAGGTTAATGAGCTTATTATTGTAAATGTAACTTCTCGTGTCTCTTTATGCTGGTTGATAGAATGTATACTGGATTGATTATAATAATTCAAATTCTCTCATTTCAGATTTTGTCATAAAATCTTACTCAAATCATTACATGTTTGCTTCAAATTTTGTTATAATTTTCAGTCAAATCAACTTCTAATCAACTTTAGTCAATTTTGTATATGGTTCAAATTAATTTCAGTTGTAATTCATAGAATAGAATCATGCATGCTTGAAAGTAACCCACATTTCTCCAGGTTGGTCTTCTAGGCTGAACCAAGTTTTGCCAGCTCTAAATGGATAACTTGTGGATATTTAGCCATAGTTGTAACTTGTGATACAAGTATTTGCTTATAATTCTGAAAATCTGGTCTAGACAGTGATAGAAGTTTTGCTTATTTACATACACCAGGAACTGATTGTCTCTTCTTTCCTTTTCACATCCATATTTCATTGCTGCAGATACAAAACAATTTTGACTTGTGATACCTTTCTTACCCTTTTGGTGCTTCTTGTATTTGATTGCAGCAAATACCGATATGGTGGAGATGGTACTACTGGGCTTCCCCGGTTTCATGGACTCTGTATGGCCTTGTGACTTCGCAAGTAGGCGATAAGACTTCACTTATTGAAATACCTGGATCCAGCAGTATGTCTGTGCAGGCTTTCCTCAAAGATTACTTGGGTTATGAATATGACTTTCTGCCTATTATTGTTATTGGACATCTTGGTTGGGTCCTCCTCTTTTTCTTTGTCTTTGCCTATGGCATCAAGTACCTTAACTTCCAAAAGAGATAAAAAAAATTAAGTAGGGAAATCTTATGATACTCCCTCCATTTCGGATTAATTGTTGCGTTTGCTTTTCGAGATCAAACTTTAAAAGTTTACTTTTACTCATATATACATCATAGAAGTATGAAATTTGATAAAAGTATTTTTATTTTATGAAGCTTCAATATGATAAAAAACAAAGTTTGTTCTCGGAAAGCAAAAGCTACAGCTAATATAGAATCGAGGGCATAATATTTTAGCAAACCAAAATGCTATTGTTGTAATAAAGTTAGAATAGGAAGTATATTGTGTGATTAATCAGAGGTAATTAGGTAAGGAATACAGATGAAAAATCTTAGTATATTTTCCTCATATTTATTATTTTATTGTTTTGAAATATCACTGTAATTTTCATTTATTTTATTTTTATTTTATGATTTTGAGGCAAGTTAAGATTGTAATTTTGTACACAATAATTAAAAGAAATGGCGTAAAGATTACTTACTCATTACATATCCTACTATTCGTTTGGTTCTATGAGCTTTTGTCACATACTCTCTCTGTTACATAATATATTGCTTATTTTTATTTTCATGATTAAACTTTTAAAACAAATTATATTTCCCTCCCTTGATTTTTGTTTCCATGAAAATATAATTCGAGTCCCATTAATTGTGCTCTTCAACCGATTGATTATGTTCCCTTTTGAATACAAGAAAATTGAGAAATTTTAACTTTTTTATTGCTTGTTTTAATATTTTTTTAATCAGGGATTATTATAAGGAAATTATAACTATATTTTGGGGGGATTCCTCTTGATTTAGTTAGTGATTTTTGCTAAACTTTTTTAACATAATCCCTTTTCAACTTTTTTTTTTACTTATTTACAAAAGGTATTTGAGCATTTCATATAGAGATAGCTTTGGGTCGGGTAAAATAGGAGACCCTACCCAAGTGGAGTGGTGATGGAGGGAGGTTTAGCAGATAAATGGATTGGAAATGAGTATAAAAAGTGTACCCACAACAATGGATTGGGTATGAATTTTACACTGGACACCCCCCCCCCTCTCCCCCCAACCATATCCACCTTTAATTCTATGTGAACCAAAGGCCTTCCTTCATTCTATAGGTCTCTAGATAGCTTTCTAATGCGTTTTCTTTTTATGTGATTTACAATAAAGTAGTTTTTATTTTTATTTTAAATGGGAACTTAAAGTAAAATAGTTTAGTATAATTACATAAATTATTATAATTGTAAAATGCAGAAAATAGTTTAGTAGATTAAATTGGAAGAGGCTAGCTACATACTATAATAATAATAAAAAAAATGACTCCATAATTTATGAACCTTAAAACCTAAGACACTATGACAATAAGACACTCAATCGTGGCAGTGGCAACAAGGGGCGGGTGTTGGGGTGGATTTGAATATCTAAGTGGCAAGTGGGAGGTGGGGGGTTGATGGGTATTAGCTTGTACCCATTGGGGCGGTGATAGATATTAGCTTGTACCTGTTGGGGTGGGAATGAGTATAAGATTTTTAAGTAGGAATGGGTGTGGAGTTGAGTCAACATCCTCCACATCCAACCCGTCCCATTGTCATCCCTAATTACATTTGGACATCACTCAATCCCTTCGACTATATAATAGAGATATATATGAACAACTCCCATCTAACGTGAGTTGATTTTGCCATAATTATTCGGATTTTTTGACAACTACCACCAACAATTGTTGGTGTTTTAGTAATTACCACCTACAATTTTATTTTATTTTTTTTGAATTTTACAACCTACTATTTTCCTAAACATTAAAACTTCCCACCAAATTGACTATTCACTCATGTGTGTCGTCACTAACTACCTTCCCTCCCTTTTTCGAGTGCAACTAGGCGCATGACTGCTATTTGTTTGAGATGCATATAGGAGGACTAACTGGTAAATTCACATATATTTTGTGATTTTTTATTGCTACAGTGGTATTTTTAATGTACAATTATAATTACAGTAGTATTTTTAATGTACTATTATACATGTATTTTATACTACTAGAGTATAAGTTGTTTTAGTAGTACTATTTATAGTCATTATAGGTAACAATGGTACAATATTTGTACCATTAGAAAAAAAAAATCACAACTCTTTTGTATGGATTTTTTTCCAAAGTAAGCTTTATTACAAAACTATTTTGTAAAGTAGACTCGTGGCCAAACTAATTACCAAACTAAGCTTTTGGGGTAAAACGCTGTCTCGGACAGCGTTTTATATCCTGATTTTTTTTAAAAAAATTCCGTTTTATACCCTGAGACAGCGTTTTACACATTGGTTTTTTTTTTTTTTTTTTTTTTAAATTTTGTAATTTTTGATTTTAAAATTAAAAAAAAAAGGAAAAAATTTACACTAAAAACGCTGACTCAAAAATTTACACTAATTTTTTTTTGTAATTTTTAAATTCTTATTTTCTGATCTTGAGACCACTGCTTCCCTCAAATCTTGATTGTGGGGGGTCTCTATCAAGATATCAGAGTTTTTGATGAAGGTACAAACCTTCAAAAAAGAGTGTGTGTGGGAGTGATACAGATACAACTCCTTTCGTTTTGATAACTTGGCCATATCTTCTCGAGAAATTTTCATGCGTATGTTTGGTTTTCTTTTATTGACAAAGGTAGCTTTCCCTATCTGTTGTACTCTGTGATGTGGGTTGTTTGAACTCGGCTCCTGCACATTATCGGGCTCCATACTCTCTTTGGTTCCTTCTCCCAACAACTCTTCTTCATTACCACAACTTCTAGATGAGCTTCCAAACTTTTTAATAATTTTGTTAGTAAGTTCCCAGGCTTGAGGCTTGGTGTTCAATTGCTTCCCTTCTACTTGATTACCATGATCTTCAGCATCGAATTTTTTCTCAGTTGAAGTGATACTCATCAAAGTTGATAACTCCTTTTCTATTTCTTTATTTTTTGGTTCTAATGACCTTGCCTTCTCTAAACCTTCATAAGCCTTATCAAACTTCCTTGATTTTCACTAAAGCCTTGACATTTCTCTTACCAATTCCCAACACCATAGAGTAGTAGACAATGGCTACATGAAGTTTTATCGCACAAGCAACAACATTCAAATGCAGAGCTATCACTAAATCCTTGAGTAATGGGTTGAAATCAGAAATTAAGAATTTTTTTTTTTTTATAATTTTAAAATAAAAAATTACGAAATTTAAAAAAAAAAAAAAAGTTAACATGTAAAACGTTGTATGAGACAGCGTTTTATACATTGAATTTTTTTTTTAAAAAAACCAGGGTATAAAACGATGTCCGAGACAGCATTTTACCCTAGAAGCTTAGTTTGGTAAATAGTTTGGCCACGACTCTACTTTACAAAATAGTTTTGTAATAAAGCTTACTTTGGAAAATATTCCCTTTTGTCTTATAGCTGCTATTTACTGGTCATATAAATAGCACCTATGCGCCAATACTTATCCCCCTTTTCCCTTCTTTTCATTCTTCTTCTCTCAATTCTCAGTTCCCCTGTCTTCCACTCCATTTTCTTTCATCCTTAATTTCAATTATTCAAGCTCACCCACCTAAATTCTTCCACAAATTCAATTCACCTTTGATGCCTCACTTCTCCTCTCTCACTCCCCTCATTTTTGTTGAAAAAAAAGCAGATTTCCAAATAGGACCTTAACTGAATGGCATCGAATAGACCAAAACTTCATAAAAACAACAACATTGGAAGGGGATCAAGGTTTGGAGGACTTTTCTGTCAAATTCAGCGCAAATTGGAGATATTTCAAGGTAAAACGACTATATTTATAAACAATGGTAAACCCTAGAAAACGTACAACTATAATTGCAACCTTTATTGAAGACTAAATTAAAAAAAAAAAAAAATTGCTTATAAAATCCCCATAATTATTTCACTAATTGTTGATTAAATTCGACCTATAATCAAATTCCCAAATTGAAACCCCTAATTTCAATTGAAAACCCCCATATTAAGTAGTCAAACCCAATAATTAAACAAAATACCTTTCTTTGTAGAATCATTGGAGTGTTTTAGAAACCCTAGATTTTGATTTTGGCAAATCCATTTCAAGTTTTACCCCGAATGAGAAATGAAATGGCAGAAGAAAGAGTGAAACCGTGAGAACAAGTAAAAAAGGGAGGGAAAATTGATGAAAGAACGTTAGTGGGGTCCAATGTGACGTCATTTTAGAGTGCTTGGTCAATCTGGTGGGAAATTTTAGTGTTTTAGAAACATGTAGGTAGTTATTTTCAATAAAAAAAAAAATTAGAAAAAAAAAAAAAAAAAACAATGTAGGTAGTTATTACTAAAACGAGGACAATTGTTGGCATGGGCGGATCTAGCATACACAAAGGGTTGCAAGTGCATAGCCTAACTGTTTATTGAAATACTTTAAAAGTTGCTTTGTAAGAATAAAATTCTTGCAGCTTGGTGGCATTATACTTATGTTTCGGCTTGGTTATTACTAATGTTCAATTCTTGTTATCATCATCTTCTTGAGTAACGCTTATATCTAAGTTTTAAGGATGATAGATGAAAAAAATTCTTTTAAATTACTCCATATTGTTTTTATATTCCTTCAATTATTCTATGATCGAAAATTATTAAAGAAAAACACCCAAAAAACAAGGAATACTCATTTAATCCGTAGAAAACGTATGTATACGGCTATACGCTAATTGAAAGCATGTTGTACTTCGTATTTAAAATAGAGTCTATATAATTTTGCATACCCTATATGCAAATTCTAGATACGCCACTATTTGTTGGTGGTTATTATAAAAAAATCCTAATTATTCTAATATTAAAAAAAGTTGAAGGACTGTGACATCAACAACAAATTGAATAAAAATGCATGTAAAAACTGAAAATGCTAAATATCTACACAATGAACAAGTGAAACCTAAAACATCATCTAGTAATATCAACACAATGAACTAGTAAACCCTAAAATATGAACAAAATTACGATCGAAAACAAAAAAACCAAAAATCAAACAAATATTGTAACTAATACAACAAATTACCAAAAAAAAAACAAAGAATTCTACTAAAAAATGAAACAAAGTAGAGAATTGCGAGTTAATAATACACATGCATAATGAAAAACCTAAGAAATCAACAATTACAACAACAATGAACAAAAATATATTCTTCTCAATTGTTTTTAATCATCTCAATTACTCGATTTAAAGTGACACATGATTATGTGGCAATATTTGATGATGTGGCTAAATTGAAGGAATTATGTCTTCGTCAAATGCAATTACTAGATATATCAAAGATCACTATTATAGAGATAATTAGTTCATTATTTTGGGTCGTCATTGTCTGTTGCTAGATATGACAAATGATCTGATCTTTGGGCTAGTCAAATAGTCCAAAGCTCAATATAATGGATCCTATGAGGTCACACACAAGGATATTGGATTGAACAAGTGTGAGGCCCATTAATGGGTCTCATGAGGCTATGACAAACCATGTAAGGTGTTGGGCTAGAGTAGTTAGAATAGGTTAGGAATTTGGGCTTGATATGGACTCTTATTTCTAGATATGATCTATAAATAAAGTTCATACCTAGGGTTGACAAGAGACACA